ACAGCTGACGCTGAACAGCGGGTCAAGACCCATAGGCCAAAACTACGGACCAGGACCCACACGGTGGACCGTCGTGAGACGCGCACTGACACCAGAACCCCTGCTTTTCCTTTCCTTCTCCGTAGCGCCAATCGACTGTTCTAGTCTTCGGCCATGGCCGTGACGAATTACACAGCACAAAATTCTGCCGGCAGAATTTTTTAAACATGCTTAATTGCACAACACAAATTCTGCCGGCAGAATTCTTTAAACACGCTTAATTACACAACGCAAAATTCTGCCGACAGAATTCTTTGGACACACTTAATTGCACAACACGGATTCTGCCGGCAGAATTCTCCAAACACGATTAACTACACAGCATAAAATTCTGCCGGCAGAATCTTCTGCACACATTGAATTACACAACATAATTCTGCCGGCAGAATCTTCTGCACACATTGAATTACACAACATAATTCTGCCGGCAAAATTCCAATGTAGATGCGGCGTGCCCTTCGCCGTGCGCTGGCAGCTTTAACTTCAGGTGGTGCGTTGGTGTAACACCCCAGAGATGTCGGGCATCTCAGCCCATGCTCAGCCTGGCGGCACATGTCAGAAAACACTGTCTCTAGTCATCCATAAATGGGAAGAATGCATTGTCTCTTCTTTCCTCTGTCCTTCGAAGAGGATGATTGTTCTCGTTGATATACACAAAGTATGTGGTCTGTGCCCCGGGGTGCCCATGTTCATGCTCCACCTAGAATCTTCCAGAACCTTCTACACAGTACCATCGAGTACCCTCGTATCTGACAGCACAAGCACGAGCCGGTGCCAGCCTGGCGGAATAAGCGCGAGCCGCTCCCCAACCATGTTGAAACCCCGGAAGAGTTCCACAGCGCGGTATCCAGGACGCGGGCCGCTCCTTGGCCGTGTCCAAGCGTCCGAGAAGGTCCACGGCGTGGTGGCCGGAGGCCACTACGGCATCGTGTATATCTAGGGCCCTGTTACGACGTGGCATTTGAGCCCTCGACTTGTGCAGAAAGTATGTGAATATTAAGCTGGGGAGGAGAAGAAAGGTTGAAGGAGAGGTGTGGCCGAAGGCCGCACCTTTATCTTGTCAGTCCTTCCTTATCTAATCTCCAGCCAATCGGCTATCAACTACCACTGGCGACGCCGTGCCATAACAGGCCCGCAAGATTCCCTGTAAAGGGGTCTGGAGGGCAAGCAACCGTTTTGGTTTTTGTGTTTCTGGTTTTCCTGTTGGATGCAGGCAGGCGCCTGCTGCTGAATACACCACTGGGCCGCACGCTTTCCCTAGACCGCTGAGTGACCTGAACCTCTGAGATCTCCTAGCGAGAACCCCTTCCTGTGCACAGCACGTTACAGTTGGGTATATAAGACTGTTCGCGGACAGCCCGTTAGGGTTCGGTGGGAAAGGCTTGTTACGACCACGCGTCGCTGGCAGAAGGCGGAGAGGGGCAGAAGGCATGGGTGGAGCCCCAGGGAGGAAGCATCCTCAACCCCACCTGACGAAGTAAGGAGGTCACGTGACTAGGCTTAAGTAAGCCAGGGAGGTCTGTTGATCTGCAGGGATCAAGGATCACGATTTGATCTGCTGCTTTGCAGAGATCAAAAGGTCGCGAGTTGATCTGGGGATCTAGAGAGATCAACGGATCACATAGAAACACAGGACAACCCCACGAGTATAAGAAAAAAGGATTTCCTTAAGCATTAGATAGCCTGGACGGATGCACTGGCATCAGTCAATCTAAGTTAGCTCCCAAGTAACCCTTGGAGCAAGCATCCAGACCTGCACCCAAAGATCTTTGTGAATCCCCTCAGTCTTCAAGTCACGTGTTACTGCTCAGTACTCCTTAGGTGCCCTACCTTAGGAGCAGAGGCCTGTTTGTAACAAAGGAGCCATTGCGGTCCCCCCACCCAACCCGGCCACTACTCACTCCGGCACTTCCCACCCTAGGAGCTGTGACGGCCCAGGGCAGTTCACCGCACGGCGCAGGTATCCACGTGAGCACGCGCCGCGGAACAGCCCGTGCGACAAGACGCCGCACCACCTTTTCTTCCGCATCGCGTGTCCGGCGCCCCGCGCCTCTCTCCCTTTCCCCTCGCCATAGAAGAGTCTTTCGTCGATAGCATCAATTGAACCTGGCTGCGAAGCCTTCTCGCCCTGATCGTGACAGACACAGAGTACCGTTTGTAACAACGGGCGGAAAAGGCAGACTGGCAATGCCGGCCCGCGAAACTGCTTTACCTCCCTTGTCCCTGCACCCGAGCCATTTTGCGATGCTCGATTTTTTTGCGTCGTCGAGTCTCCGCCTGGTTCGCCGGTCGAAGTACGACCCCGTGAACAGTCATGACATGGTTTCGGAAGTGATCTAATGTCTTTAGTTTCACGTTTTTACATTTGGGGTGCTTGCAGCTGATGGGATGGCCGCTGCCCTGGGCTAATTTGCGTGCTTCAAGGTGCTGGTTATCGAAGTGGTCGTTTCGGACAGTCGGACGGCAGAATGTAAATGTCCGTTCCTCCGTCGAAAGCCGGTCGTCGCCGATGCAGTCGGGGCATTGGCTCGGATCCATTAGGAGCGGGAACGAATCGGGTTCGGGCGAAAGATCCGGCGATTTTTGCTTGATGGGGGGTTCGATTTGCCTTCGCTGTCGTTTGTGGTCGCGCCGACGGGTCTCTCGCTTGTTGCAAAGAGACACCATCAGATCGATGACCTCAATACGGTGGTGAAAAATCTCGTCGTCAGACCAGTTATCTGGCTGGTTACACCAGATGTCGGCAAGCCGTGCGCGTTCGGGAATGTCAAGCTCCACCTTGGGCTTTTCATACTCCTCCTCCACCTCGCCCAGTGCTTGCCTCTCGACGTCCCAGGTCGGCCGGTGGTAGAAGTAGTACTCGCGGTAATCTCTCACAACCATGTTCTCGCGTTGTGCCCGCCTGCGCTTAATCTTCTCGGTAAGTTCGCGAATCTTTGCCTCGTCCTTCCGGCCCCGAATGCGATACTGTCCCTGCTTAAGCGCCGTTCGCTGCTCTTCCAACTCGACGATTTCAGGGTCTGGAGGCAGGTTCGCCCACACCTCGTCTGGCACCATGTCACGTTTCGCCCGAGGGTCGCGGGTAATGCTGACGTGCGCGAACAGTTTGTACAGCTGATCTTCCGTCTCTTCTTCGAGGAAGGTATTCTGCAAATCGAACTTGACCCTCTCGTTGAGGTAGGCACCATGAAAAGTCGAGAACTTGGGATCGTGGCGCATCATCTGGTCTCGGACGACGTCCGGGGCGTTCCCTAAAGTCGAGTTAGCGGTCCCCTTGGCTAAACCACCTACACTTTTGGCTGGTTCCTCTCCGAGGTGGGGCATACCGTTCGCAGCGTTCGCGGCTCCTCTGCGGAAGAACTTCGGTGTCCAGCAAACCTCGAATCCCGCCTCTAGGCTCTGTCGGCCCAGGTCGTCTCTAAGCTTGGCGTAAAGCATGGCCTCAGTGTCGGAGAGGACTCCGTTGGGGCCAAAGCGGCGGAAAACGGGGATTTTGAGCATGGACTGCTTCCACCGCAGAGGCATGCACTCCCTGGACCCCCAGATGCTGGTGCCCAGCACTTGCGAGGCGTTTGTCAAGCTCGGCGCATCAAAAGCGTGGTCGTGCAGCGCGAGCGCGATAATGACGCTGACGGGACAGAAAATCAACTTCTTGGTGGGCGTAAAGTAGAAGATGGTCCTGCGATGGTTAGAATGACAAGACTACTTGGATCGCGTGCGAAGGGGCGTAGAACTTACGGTTTTGGTCTGTTATCCGAGCCCTTGTGATGGACAAACTTGATGGCCATCGCGGGGGTTGCCCGACCCGTTACCGGATGGCGGACGACCATTAGCTGAATGTCCTCGTAGCAGAGAGCCTTCGGCCGCCCGCGTCCTTTGGTCTCCGCGGACAGCAGCTCATCTACCGGCAGGGATTGTTTATTAGGCGCAGCTTCGTCCGAGTCATCCCACTCTCCCTGGCCTTCTCCCCGGTCGGCGCTGGGCGGAAGGACGACCTTAGAGCCGAAGAGCTCTTCCACGAGCTTGGATTTCGGCCTCTCGTTGTAGACGAGCTCGGCAGGCCTGGCCCCAGTATAGCATTGGATCAAATAGCAACCCGCGAGGTTGATGCGTTGCCGTTCGCCGGGGAAGACGCCCGTGTCGTAAGCGATGTTGAACGTCAGGATGATGCGCAACTCGGCCACGCTGACGACTGGCTTGCCGTGGATATTGGGGGGCCGGAGGCTGAAGCGGGGAATCAAAACCTGACGATGGTACTGGGCGCAGTATGAGCGTTAGCGCTGGCTGGATAAAGGAGTGTTAGGAGTGAAAGGAAGCCATTCGCAGTACCTTGTATACTTCCCTCGCGTCGTTTCGGTCCATAAATTGTCCCGTAATCGTGGTGTAAAGCTGCTGGAACTGGCGGATATATACGTGCGTCGTGCCCCATGATTTGATGGTGCAGTTCCCGCAGACGTAAAGGAAAAAATCCATTGTCGTCTCTCGCGACAAGCTTTTCAGGGTCGCCTCAGGATCGCCCACCTTTTTCTCCTCGCAGTACCTTCTCCCAGGCGTCAGCGGACAGTCACACCGGCAGGAGAGCGTCGTAGGACATACCGTTTCCATTTTGTAAGCATGCCAGTGATGTTGATCTGGCTTTCTGCAGCCAGCACGGGCTTGACGAAGGCGCGCTTCAATCGCTGTCGGTTCTTCGCATGCTCCTCGGCGGACAGCGGCACCGGTCGGTTGTCGACTCTTCTGCGCGCCTCCTGCTCAGCAAATTGCGTAAGAAAGTGGGCATGGTTATCGAGGGCACCGTTGGCACCGGGTCGGCGAGCCGTGGCGGTCGCAGGGCGCGGCATGGAAACGGTTCCGTTGTTGCGTCTGCGGCTTGGTCGCAGGAGGGGGGACGGCGGTTGTATGGGCGGCTTTTTCACGGATGAGGCATAGTGGACCAACGAAGGCCGGTGAAGGCCGGCAAGGGCGTTGCCGCCATTTATAGCGAACGGCAGCCATGATTATGGTTGTTCGGAAAGTCGGAAATGGCTTCTGACGAATGTCGGTTATGTCAGAGCCGCAAGGGCGAGTTCCCGGTTCATGAGGAGCGGCTTCTGATTGGGACCAGCGTGCGTTGGGAGTGGTGTTTGATTGGGCCAGCGCAATGGTCCTATCAGAGCGCCTGGTGCGCGGAAGTACCGAATACCTGGCGGGGTACCTCCTTGGTCAAAGGGCCCCTGACTGCACCTGCCGCCGAGAACAGTGCCAGAACCCGCCGAATTTGACGGCCCTAGCAGCGACTTCTCTATTTTATGAGTAAATAATGGCAAAGGAATAAAAGGAAATTAAGCTTTGGAAAGGCATTTTGGTGCGTTAAAGAGCATTGGGTTATTAATTTAAAAAATAATAAAAAAGGAAGGTAATGTGCGTTTTTGGCGCGGCAAAAGGCTATTTAGTAAATTGCTTTAATAAAGAACAATATTAGTAAGCATTTCGTTAGCTTTTGGGGTTTGCACTTATAAAAGGCACTTTTCTTACCTTAATTGCAGTTGTTACGGTACGCGTTGGGGCATTTAGGGAGGAACCTAAGGCCGCATTTTTAACGCGCTAACGTTACGTTTACAAAACCGCAACAAAACGCTAAGGACGCTTTGCCCAAATAGCTTTCTTTTCGTGCAATAATAAAGCCTTTTTTATAACAATAAAGTATAAACCGTAGCAATTTGTTGCATTTTAAATTTTCGGAACCCGATATTAACATATTCCGTTTTTTTTTTGCTAATAACTTTGTAAAACGGTAGCACACCTTTTTGCTTACGATTAACCAACGTTAATATTTACCCCAAATTTTGCCGTATAATTTCGGAAAAACATTTTTACTTTTTCGATTTAACTTTTTTAACCAAGCAATTCGTTAGCAAATTACCGCCGCGGTTACATTATATTTACCGCATTTAACGCTTTTAAAACGGGCTTTTCGGGCCCGATAATAACAATTTTACAAAACGCCGTTTTTTTATTCCCAACTTTGCATTTTATACGCAAAGCAATTTAAAATAACCTTAACGATTACGCCGTTTTATATTTCGCTTTGCATTTAAAACGTTTTAACGAAACCCAAGCTTAATTTAAATATATTTTCCGGGTTATAAAAACCCGTTTTTAAACCATTAACGAATTGCTAATAACATACCGCTAAAACGCTAATATCGCTTACGTTATAATTTCGAACCAAAAAATAACGATTTGCAAATTTCGAATTTAAATCCAGCAATTATTTAGCTAAATTATGCTTACATTAGCTATAAATACGCTTTTTTTAACGCAGCTTTTTAAGGCCGCCGCGTTATCGCCAGCAATCCGCCCCCGAACGGTTACTTTCGAAATTTTTAAAAGTATAAAAATGAACCAAATCCAGCGATAAAAGCATTATACCAATTGGCGCTTTTTGCTTAAAATATAAATAAAATTATATCGGGCCGCTTTCCTAACGCTACTAAAACGCGTTCTTTTTTTATATATATTTATACTTTATTTTGTTTATAAGAAAGACTTTAGTGTTATTGCTAAATGTTGCGTAAGGGAAACCTTTGGGTTTGGTTTAAAAAAGAAAACCCTGCGCTTACGAACCGGTGCCGAATCGGTGTTAAACCGCCGGTTCCGTTTATTGTAATTCGTTCGATTGCTAATAAATGCTCCGGCAAAAAAGCGTTTTCGTGCCCCCGGCTAAAAGGGTGTAATGGTAAAGTGAAGGTAAAGGCTAATATATGGAAAAATTATAAGGAAAACGTATAAAAAATGTGGTTTTAAAAAAGCGCTATTGCTTTGGGGTGGCTCCGGCGATCGCCGTTAATAAGCAAAAGTTTGGCCAGCCGGGTAATTATTGCGTAAAGCTAGCGCTTTGCGCTTTCCGGCCCCGTATTATACTTTCGGGTACGGTTTGTATCCGGTATGGTATGGTTCGTTTTTTATCGTTGTTTTTTTTATGTAATTGGGTATCGGTAATTGTTTTTATCGATATTTTCGTGCGTATTTTTGTTGGCCCGGTGCTTGGTTACTTTCGTTAAAGTAACGGTGCTTTTTGTATTTGCTATTTGGGTGCTTGTAGCTTTGTTAAAAGTAAGTAATTGTGTTTGGAAAGTAATCGTGCCTTTTTTCGCCGGCGTAATGGCTTCGGGCGGGTCCGGAAAAGTTATTTTTTCGCCGGTGCTTTTTTTTTGCTTTGCTTATTTTTTTCCTTTTTCCTTTTTTTTCCTTTTT